GTAGATGTTTCTCTCTCATCGATGTTTCTTTCTAACTCTCTTTCTCCCTTCCGCTCTGTAAAAACTCAATAAAATATATTTTTTTTAAAAAAGAAAGAAAGAAACCCTGTTTATAGAGCACATTAAATTCTATAACTTATGCAAACTCTTTCAAATTGTGACCAAAAACTCATTGATGATCAGTTTGCTAAATTAAAGATGGGAAGTGTTTCTAAAAGAATTAAGAGATAAATCAATGCAATTCAGCAACTCTGAGAGACTTCCAGGAACAGTCTCTATAAACAAGCAGATAGACTCACTTCATGAATAGTAACATTATAATAAACTATTGCTGAGGGCCCATTATATCCAGAAACATTTATTTTATTTATTTCATTTAAGCCCCAAATCATCCCATGAGATATTTTCACTTCATGAGGTGTCCTGTTCCAATATATAATTGACCTTCTTGGGTCACATGATCAAGGGTGCCAAAGATGGTACCCAACCCATGGTTTTACCCATAAGATCCCATGCTTCTTATCTATGTTAAAAAAAAAAAAGAAAAGAAATTAAAACACGTTAAACCAACCAATTCTTTGCTAGGTGCTTCATCAAGGTGTTCCCATTGCCCCCCTTCACCTTTACTTCCAAAATATTGAATAGTGCCACAGAATGAAATGTGTGAAAAGGTGTCTGTCCAAAGATATTGGATAGCTTCTTTTGTAAGTTATAATTTTTAATTAAAACTTAGTGATATCGTAAGTATGTGAGAGTTTGGAGAAAGTAAATTCTACTCCCAAAGTATGTTTGGAACCCAAAGATCTTGCTGTGATCCGCAGCGATTTTGAAATTTGCAAATAGATGTGGTTTAGTTCCACCTTTGTGTTGCCTACTTGTGTGACCCTGGATAAAATAGCGAGGAGATCAATTATTTTTAACTTTAATCTGCATGTTGTGTCATGTGAACATAGCCTTGAAGTATCTTCAAACCAAAGAACATCTTTCATGCCTTAAGTTTTATTCTAAGGCAGAGAATATTATCATTATTTAGAGTATTTCTGGAATTTGAAGCAATTAGGTCATTCCTGTAAATGTCATGGAGATAGGGCTTTAAGTGTCACTCAGTTTCCTTCCTTCCTCTTACTTAATACTTTGTCATTCACCATCACCAACTATCTTCATGCCATATTCAATATTTAATATGCATCATAAATTTTTGGGAGAGGGACAAGATTCTGGCTATTTCAAAATTATTACTCCTTCCTTAATGGAGACAGTTTGTGAGAGTCTGTTTTCCACACTAAAGACAAAGATTTTGACTGAGCATGCTGCTCAAACTTTAGCAAAAAATAGAAATCATTCATCATAATGTTATAAGTGTATTGTTATGGGTTGAATAATTTTGTGGTTAAAGCTTTACTTATAAGCAATGTATCTACATCTATATCTATATATATTCATGTGACATATGAATCTGCAATGTGAAACCCACAGATACCAATGGTCTACTGTAATTCCACTTATGTTATTTGACATTTGACTTTTCAAATATATCAATATTCCACACTCTGGAATTTTTCTAGTGTAGAGAAAAAGTCAATCATGAACTTGGGAAAATCTGTTCTATACACTTGTGGAAAAAATATTTTCTTAGTTTTCAACTTGCTTTCAAAAATAGTTGTTTTAATATCATAATTCATTATCCAGTATTCAATGATTATCCCCTAAGAGAAAAATGGATCAAGATGGTGGTTACAAAGGTGCAGGGTCTTATTTTTTTTCCTGTCAGGATTAATGTGTGCACAACATCAAGCATGTGTCAAATAGAAAAAGGACTGCAAGGATCAGTAGGTGTAGTGAGATTAGCATTTTCAATGGCTGTTCTTGACTTTGTAAAGGAGTCATTGCCTATCTGGATCCTTTACCTGGCCCCAGGAAAAGCTGCTTCAGTTCAGCGTGTCAGTGGAAATATAGGGGAGTGGTCACACATGTTTGCTAATAAATACTAGGCACTGATATCATTCTCACATAAGAAGACACATGTGCATGGCAAGGAAAAATCCTACAGACTATTCCAACCTTAACTGACTTGTGAGAGAGAAAGATGTCATGCCCCTTCTTTCCTTACATCCATTCTTCACCCAAGTTAGAGTTTATTACAAATAACACTGCATTGTTTCTCTCAGTTCTTGACATTGTCTTTTGGATGACTTAACTCTTGTATAAAGTAGTGGTGGTTTTTGTTATCCCTCTTTTGGCTGCCATCCTCCCCAAACTAAAGCTAAGTGGAATCTTCCAGGCCTCTTCCTTTGAAAAAGAACTTGAACCAGTTGCAAAAGATACTACGGGAAAGCAAAACCCTACTTGTTAAGGAATACGGCTTTTCATTGTTTTGCCCAGTGTCTTGTTGATGGGACTTGTATTTATTGTGATGGGTCATTTTTTTCTGAAAAAAAAAAAAAAAAAGATAGAACTGCCTCTGGCATGAACAGAAGCATAAGGGGCACTGAGAAACTATGGAGTGGCTTTTGCACAGCAAAGGCAGACAAAGGTCATAACAAACTTTTCTTGGGCCATATGACTCAAAGTCCTGAAGATGTCAGTTGAATAAGAGATCACTGACTAAGTTCTTCCTCATGAGTCATCCCTCACCCTCCATTCATTGACCCCCTTACATTTCTCATTCCCTAGCTCCACTAAATCTACATTCCACCACTAGTTAGGCTTTTAAAAATGCTCATTTCTGTAAGTGTTTAAAATTTGCAACAATTCAAAGCCCATCCCCAGCTACGTCCCACCCATGTGTCCCTAGAAATAGCACATTTCTGTAAATCAAAACTACTGTCTATGTGTGTGCACACGTGAATGTGTTTGCATTTGTATGAAAAGGACATTTTTTTAAAAAGGAACAAAAAGTAGAGAATTTTGCATTTGGTGGTGTTTTGTTTTTTTGTTTTTTTTTGTATTTGAGCAGACCATTTTAGGAATTTCAGTCTCAACAAAACACTATTAAAACAAAGAATCTAGTAAAATATTTGTGCATGTTCTGCTAAACAATTCTAGCAATTTTATTAAGCAATACCTTTATTATTTTTGAATATTCTTAACAGACTGGAACAAAACATTTTTTTATTCAAAACAAAATATGCATACTGTACGCATGTCGCAGGGTTAAGTATGATGCAGAGATTAAAGTTTGTTTGAACAAAAACAAATGCCGGGGGGAATTTCATAGCTATAAAGTCAATAACTAAATTTTGTTCGCTAAGAGGACCTTTTCTATGGTTTTCCTTCATCTTCCAGCTACACAGCAAACATATCTGAAGTGCACTTCCCAAGTGTAGTTAGAGAATAGGAAGGAATGTAAAGTATTTTTTTTAATTATTTGTTTTGTTTGTTTGGTTTTTTAAAAACAGCCCTTATTAACTCTTCCTTCCACTGATTCTACTGTAAACTCATAAAAGCCTTTTTTTTTTATATAAAGCAAATTCATAGACATTCAGCAGGTGAAATGTTCCCACAAAAAGAAAAAAGTACAAACAGAGCAATCAGATTTCTCCTCTTTTCTTCAACTATCTAGAGCGTGTTAGAGTGATACAGTTTTTGCACTTGAATGGAAATGGCTAACCTATTCTTTTTTTAAAAAAAAAAGTTTATTTTTTTGTGATAATGCAGAATTGCATACACTTTATACCTGGAATAATTTAAAACCATATGTTGGGGAAATACTGGAGTAAAATTGTGTATATTCTGTATACTGCAGGTGTTTGAGCATCTCTACTATCTCCTTTGTCAGCAATAAAGGAGGCAAAAGAAATCCAGATGTGTGTTCTTGGCCTCTTTGTCCCCATTACAAGGGCCAAAATGGGCTCCCAGGTTACTGCAACAGAACTGAAGTCACAGTGAAAGTCCACCTTCCGAAGGACTCTCTGCCTCTTCTCACCCTGATGCGAGGTGGCCACTCGGAGCCACCTGATCAGTGAGAAAGGACCGGGGCCTTGGGGAACGGGAGTGGGAGCGAAATAGTTCATGGTAATTTTCTTTGCTTTTATTTTGTTTTCAACATAAAAATGTGTTCAACTGTCTGATTCCACCTATCATGGGGAACACATGTTTTTTCAGCTACTCTCCTTGTCTGCTCCGTTGTGGGTTTGTGCAACAGCGGCTCAGAGGCCCACCAGAGCGTGCACGCCCATTCACCATGGCCACACAGACAGAAGCAAGCGGATGTTGTCTGCTGAGGGGAGAGAGGAGGGCCAGGGGAGGAAAGGCCGGGGAGGGTGCAGGTTCCCAAGGCAGGAGGGAGAGTTAGGAAATTCTTTTTCTTTTTTTTTCTTTTTTTTGTCTTTTTTTCTTTTTTATGATTTTTTTGTTTGTTTATTTTTTTGCTATACCACAAAGTCATAGCAATCATTCCTCTAATAGAAACTGACAGGACATAGAGACAGAACTATCTGATGAACATACACAATGACTAGAAATATATATATATATATATTAGAGAGAGAAAGACAGTGAAAAGACTTAGTTTACCTCTGAGAAAGCATCCCCCAAAATAAATCCTGTATTAACAAGTGCAAAAAACAAACAAACGAAATCAACCCAAACCAAAACCAAAGCAAATTAAACGTCCAAACATTAAAACACAGTGTATAAAATGGTGTGAGAAATAGAAGTCACTTGGCAGCCTTTCAGTCAATAAAAAGCTGTGTTTGTGTCCTTGTTTGGATTCAGGCCCATCTTTTTCAATGTTACCCTACAGGCCCTGCAAGAAGTGATTGGAGGGTAAAAGCACCCAGTCTCTGTGACATCTGACCAGTTGCGCTTTCGTGGTGGGCCAGGGCTGCTCTGGTGACACTTTGTGGTGACACTCTGTCCTTCCACGGTTACTCCTCATTGGCTGAGCTTTCTTCCAGCGTGTTGATGCCTCCGAAGCTCAGTGCCGTGGTGTTCTGTGCTGCTGAGGCTGTGAGCACTGAATGTAAGAGAATCAGTACCAGAACACACAGTTTGAGTCTGCTGTTGCACAGTCTTGTTGCTGAGGAAACTGTGAGCGACGTCCTGTGACAGGAGCCACTGTTGTCCACCGTTCCTTTGGATGGGTTGTTTTTTTGCTCCTGTCTCCTGACGTCACAGCATTCTGGTTCATCATTGGTTAGAAAGGTCTCGTAGAGCCCTGCAGGATGAAGACAGTGGTCGGTTAACAGGAAAGGAAGACGTGGGAAGGAGCTCATAGTAGAGAGAAGCTGTTACGCCAGTGTTCTGATCCACAAAAATCATACAAGCAATGCAACATTTTGTAAAGGGAAGGAAGGTCAAGACAGTCTGGATAAATGGCCAACCATTCTCTCAAACCAGCACTTTTAAGTTCCTCATTGTGTTCTTTGTATATTCCTGGTGGTCATACCATGAAAGTTCTGGGTTGTGATGAATATAGAATGAAAAATGTTATTAGATCAAAATCAGAACCTGAGGTTCTGGATCAACTTGGTGACCAGGGACATGCAACCATCCTTTTTCTTTAACAGGAACATGACTAATTAATGCAATTCCTAAAGTAACATCAACTAGTTGTGCTAAATGAAATAAGTAACCAAACAAAATATCATAGCTATAGCAACCATGTTTCCTAATTGCTTCCTCTCTTGAACCTCACTATGTCTTCTATCACCCTGTCTTGGGAGGCAGATAGAGAATGGCATAACTATCTACACATCCAATGGGTGACCATTTCCTTTTGATTTATTTTCTAAATGTTTCTTTTATTCTTCCATATGCAATTCTATTGATGACTGCCTAATGGGACCAGTTGAGTGTTAAATGAAATAAATAATATAAATGTATCTTTCACCTGGACCACTACAGGAGGACACTCTCTGATCTTGATTTTCTCCACTTCCAAAAACTATCCTTCCTCAACATTGCCTTTCAGTGAATACCTGTACATCTCACACCCTCACTCTCGCACTCTTTCTCTCTTGTTTATTCCCTCCTGGAGAGCTTCTTCTCTTGCTCCCTTCCCCTTTTCCTTCTTCTTTTAAAATTACACATTGTTCTTATTTTACAATTGATAGATGGGTAGTTCTGAAACTTTCAAAGTGGTGAAAAGAGTAAAACAACTGGTGCCCTAGTCAGTGGCTCAGTTGGTTGGAGCATCATCTATACATTAGAAAATGGTTGTGTGTTGGACTCCCGGTCAGGGCACACCTAGGTTGTGGGTTCCATCCCCAGGTGGGGTGCCTACGGGAGGCAACTGATCAATGTTTATTTCACATCAATGTTCCTCTCTCTCTCTAAAATCAATAAAACATAATCTCAGGTGAGGATTAAAAAAAGAAAGAATAAAATAACTGGCTATTCATTACCTTTCAACATTGTTTCTTGCTATATTATAAATAGTCATGTTTTATGTATTTGCATAAGCCATTTTTCCACTGGACTGAAACATTGTCTCAAACTGATAGGATGAAGTTTCTACACAAATTGTATTATATTACACTCAAGCTTCAAAAACTGAAAAATAAGGATAGAGCAATCGGAAGGATTAAATTAGATTTTGAATGTAAAGTTCTTGGCTTAGTGCCTATCACATAAATATGCTTCAAAAATTGGCTACCATCTTATATAATAAAGAGGTAATATGCAAATTTACCATCATGCCCTCACACAAGATGGCCGCCCCCATGATGGCCAGCAGGGGAGGGCAGTTGGGGGAAATCAGGCCAGCATGGGAGCAGTTAGGCATCGATCAGGCTGGCAGGAGAGTGGTTAGGAGGTGATCAGGCAGGCAGGCAGGCGAGCAGTTGGGAGACAGCAGTCCCGGATTGTAATAGGGATGTCAACTGCCGGTTTAGGCCCAATCCCTGTGGGATCAGCAGTCGGACATCTCCCGAGGGGTCCCAGATTAGAGAGGGTGTAGGCTGGTCTGAGGGACACCCCGCCCCCAGTGCACGAATTTCATGCATCGGGCCTCTAGTTAATAATACTAGCAATTAATAGTGTCTCATGATACCACATAAATAATAAATCTAAAATATCCTTTCCTCTCTCTGCAGACTCATTGCTCACTGTTCCAGCTATCCTGAACTCCTTCCGGTTCTTTTCAGAACACGTGGTACTTCCACCCAAATCTGTATCATTGTCCAAGCTGCTGGTATATTCTCCATCAACTCATATACCTATTCTCATTTTTATTTTCAAGTTCAGCTCACAGGAAATTCCCTGTGTGAAGCCTGCACACACATGCCTGGGCTGTGAATGCATTTTGTGTAACTTCAATAGAGCAATTATTATTAGTTCTTTTACTCTCAATTGCTCATTTTCATGTCAATTTCCTTACTCATCTGTCAACTTAAAAGCAAGAACTATATATTTTCAGCTTTGCGTTCCCAATGGGTTGCAGAAGACCTGAGCAAAACATACTCGATGAGCATTTATTATATGAATAAACTCAATATATATTTATTTAATAAAAATAATCTATTAAATGATATGTTATACACTGCAATCTTCAGTTTCTTTGAAATAAATGACCAATATATCCTTATAATGATGCTTACAATATTCATTTCTTCTTAGGCATTCAAAGGTAAACTTCACCTTCGCCTAGATAGAATATGGAAAAAAAACTGAATTAATGAGGTCTGTAGCTGCGACATTTTCATTGTATGATATTTTCTTATATCATATAACTACTGGTAAGACTAATCATTTATTGAAGTATAAGTTTTCCAAAATTATATTCTATACAGAAAAGAGTTTACAGTTAAGATGATAAGAATAGAAATCTAAAGGTCATTTAGATCAATGTTTTAGAATGTTCATAGTCAGAAAATGTTTAATAATGTCACCCCAATAAGAAGGTCTTCCAAGTTAGCTCAATAGCTAGATTGCTGATTTATAATTATTAGTAAAGTCATTTCAGAAAAGATAAAGATGTTCATTCAAACAAATATATGTATTCCTCTTTTTGACTGACAAAGTGAATACTCTATTTCCCCTGTGCATCTTGTAATCTGAATTTTTATTCAGAGTTATACATGCATGTATTTTAACAACCAAATAATTCCATAAGACTTCTTACAAAATAATTAAAAAATTCATCCCCCCCCCATTCTGAATTCTTTCTTCTTAGAGGCAATTGCCACTCTTTTAGCGTTTCTGTATTTAACACCATATTGTAAATAGCCTACTTTGTGCTTTTCTTGAGTTTTCATTTTGCATGTGAGGATAAAACATTTGTTCTCCTGTTTCCTCCAGCTTATATGATCCCCACCATACTGCCACCATCCCCTTTCCGCCCTGGTAGTGAGTTCAGTGTTCATTCTTTGCTTTATTAGGATGTTGTAAAAACAATGCTAATTTAGCCAACTAGTAAACTTTAGTTTCCCATTATTAAACCAATGTTTTCTTAGAGTTAATATCTTACAGTTTTCTATGTACTTATTAATTCAATCCCAAATATTTTACCAGTTATTTCAATTGAGTCAGATGTTCTATCAGTTTTATCTTCCTGAAGAAATATATCCTGGAGCCTACCATCTGGACTGGTTGTTTTTTTTATGCCTGGTACATAGCTACCAGCCTGAAAACCCTAATGAAGCATCATTTTGGGATGCTTGCTACCTCTCTCCTCTGGACTCCCTATTTTCTGTATCCTCTGCCTCCTTTTTCAATTTGGTGGACCATGTCATCTAGGATCTTCATATGGAAAAGCTCATGGGAGTCAATTTCTAAGATGCTGTATGGCTAAAAATATGTTTATTTTGCTGCATATTTAATTGATTGTTTGGCTGAGTATGGGATTCTGGTTTAGAAAATTGTTTCCTTCATATGTACTTGAGCATCACTCCCACATTAAGTTGTTGGACCTCTGGGACCTGTCCTTTAGTTTTCTTATCTCATCTCTCCTATTTGATACCACTTCATCCCTTGCTCTGTATTCTAGAGGATTTGGTGAGCTTTATCCTGTAATAATTTTATTGAGATTTTTTTTCTACCACATTTTAATTTCCACGGGCACTTTTATGTATTCTCAAGGTTAGGTTTTATTTTTTAAGTGTTCTCATTTCATAGTTGCAATCTATTCTTTTATTGCTCTCAGATATTTGCAGCTATTTTATTTGTCATGTTTTATTTCCTCTTTGCATAGGCTCTGTTTTCTCCAAATCACTTTGTTGGTTTGTTGTTGTTGTTGTTGTTGTTCGTCTCTTATTTTTTTACACGGGAAGTCTGCACATTCTAGATTGTCTGCTTACATGAAAAAGTATTGGGATCTCAGCACCTAAAAAGGATTGTGAACTGTGAGCTACACTGTAGGATAACCTGCCTCAACTGCTTTGATGGAGACATTTTTTAAATGATTTCCTTAGGTTGTTTGGGTTACCCAGGAAATATCCAATACCTGTTCAGGAGTGCGAAAGCTGGGGAGCCAGTTTCCTGAGAGTTAGATGGGAGAAGGCACTGTGATGGGGTAGGGGTTGGGAGAGAATCTCAACCTTTGGTGTGTATGCTGTACGCACTTCATCCTCATTTTGGGCCCCTACTGTAACTCCTCCTGGGGTCACCCAGGACAATAATGTTCTGCAGTCATCTCTGAAAATATAGGTCCCATCCCACACACAAATATTCCAAGTCTTTTCTCTAAGGTGAGGAAGGGGGAATTACTAGGTTGGAGAGGTGGACACAGGCTATGGAGATGTAACAGCTTCTTAAACATATTTTGTTGCCTCTTCCAAACATCTTCCACTGTCAATTCTTGTGCCTGGAGGGAGTCTGGGAATTACAGATGTGCAGTCTGTAAATCTGGTTGATGCTTGGTTTCCTCTCGGCTGCTTCCTGCCCTCAGCAAATCCTTGAGCACACATCTATGTTCTTTCTTGTGTCTAAGAGGTTTTTGGTTACTATCTCCTTATCTATTCTTCTATTCTTTTGGATTTATGCCTCAAAACAATTTCTTTTCTTTAGGGTTTGCCTAGAATATGGTACTGCCTTTTCTCTCTATATCATTCCGCTCTGTCTTGAACTCTGACAGATGTCTGCTTCTCTGTTAGATACATTTATGAATAAACAGGATATACAGCCTGCTAAGTCCAGCATTTCTTGTTTTATGTGATGGACGGTGGGGTGCATCAACCAGAGGTCCCCCAGGACATGGCCACTTACCCTTCCATCTGG